TGGTCCATTTTTGTCCTTCAACTTTTGACCGGCCGTAAGCTCTCATGTCGGAATACTGCATCCCAGGGAATATTTAATACTGCAGTTCCTTAATAGATCCGCTGTGTATTACCTCAAATTTGGCCAAGTGTTCCGTGTTTCTGCAATCCTGTTCTTTTTCTTCTTCTTTATCGCCTCTCTAGTGGATTTGTGCTATGACTGCCTTTGAGCAGTATTGCCAAAGCAGTTAATGACAATTGATTCGACAAATCACTATTCATTAACTTTCTCTCTTGGTCTCTCCTCTCATGATCTCTCTCATGCTCTCTTTTCAGCTCTCGCAGTTTTTTAAGTAGACTGAGTGCTGTTTGCAGGACTTGCGGTTGAGTGTTTGGAGCTCTCTTTACTTTTGCTGGTATATTAAAATCTCTATGGCTGAATGCCTTGTACTGGAAACATTTGTACTTTTGTAGGATTAAGGTTTTAAAGACAGGCGTATTACAACCGCTGTTTTTGTGAAAGGACACGCAAACTGTTATATGAAAATATCTTTGGCTATCTAAATTTATCCAGATTTCACAATCCAAATCCAAAAATCTGTTTACACATATGCTAAAGTTTGCAGTCTGTTAAGTGAGACGCAAAATACATGGTGCGATGAAGTGGGGTTACTGTTAAACTACCTTAAAGTTCCTGTAACAGCACGTTCTGAAGCGTTTTATTTTATTTATTCAGTAATGACGTCATATTTTGTATCCATTTATAGTTGCGTTTAATGCTGTAACACGTTTCTATAGGAGCTGTAAACAGTTGTTCCCTCACCAGCGTCTCTTTTTTTTCTCTCTCTCTCTCTCTCTATTGTCTTGTCATGTTACAGAGAAACTGCAAAGCGTAAACTTCTCTGTACTGAAGATGTCGGAAAGGACATAGTGTTAAATCTGACTGTTACAAAGGGCTGATACTGGAGACTCCTTCCATAAATGGTAAACAAACATGGCCTTACATAAAACTTCAATTCGGTCTGAACTCAGATTGATTGAATCCTGTTTTTGCATCCTATATCCTTTATAACATGGGAGTTCAGCTACAATTTGAGAAGATCCATATCCAATTCCTTGCTTACAATGAATTTGACGTGGTTTTGCTCAGGTTCTGACTGAAGCGTCATGTTTTTACCAGTATAGCCTCTGAACACAGAACGTCTCGGTCCCTTGTCTTTAAACATTCTGTTTTCTTCATCAGTTATTTTTTTTTTTTTAAACAAGATTTTCTTTAATGGCTTTCCTTCTGTTCGTCATACATAGATGTTACTGACATGTTCATTTTCAGGAACTCAGGGCTCGTTTTCTGGCCATATACGTTCTCCGAGCCGTCCGTGTGTCTGTCCGAGATTCTCGTTTCAAAAACGAGTGGTTGAATGTTTGAAGGATTTGTATGGAATTATCCACCATAACCAGCAGATGAACTGATCCAAACAGGGTCAAGGTCACATGTCTGAAATAGTTTGTTTTTTTTTCCTTCTTTGTAATTATTGGAACAGCATGGCCAGTTCTTTTTTTTTTTTGGCTATACACTGAAGACATTTGGGTTTGAGATCAAACGAAGAACATGAGGCGATAGATCAGAATTTCAGCCTGAAATTTTCTGATAGTTACCTGATATAAGCAAGAGCATGCCACCTTTGGTAAATTAGAGTAAAAAAAAAAACAACACTTAATATTTGGTTGCGTATCCCTTGCTCGCAGTAACTGCATCAAGCTGGCGACCCACTCACATCACCAGAGGCTTGCATTCATCTTCTGTGATGCTTTAACAGGCAACCGAAATTATTTTATTTAAAACAATGAGGATACCTCTGAAGCTACTTCTCTCTAACTACCTCCTCTGTCTCTTCAAACAGATAAAGAAATACTTTGAGCTGGAGCCTTTGGCTCGGGGGAAGAGCTGGTTGCTCGAGGGAAGCACGGTGGACAACATGGACGCCGTGAAGGAGAGCTTCACCCAACTCATCCACCTGCTGGAGGAAAAGGACCAGGAGACAGGCAGGATATGAGCTGCGAGTTTTCTCCGAATCCCAGCATCCTCCAGTTCGGACAGTACAGATCTCCACCTCAACACAGACGAGAGTGCGTGTGTGTGTGCGTGTGTGTGTGTTACTCTGACTCCAACACAGCAGGCTGAAAGGTATACGGATTCACACAAGTGGGGTTTATATCGTGTCATATCATATTTGTGGTATGATATGTTATTAGGTTGTTCGTATCAGTACCACAAGTTAACCGACTGTCGAGTCACGCTGTCAGTAAACACGGTTCTATGTTATACGTCCTGTGTAATACACACCTAGTTGCACATTGCTACATAACTGATAAACACTTTTCCTGGTATGTAGAGAAACTGGATAGTTTTTCTTAATATGTATATTGTTCTATTTAGTGTGTGAATGTATACGTGTGTGTGTGTGTGTGTGTGTGTGTGTGTGCGCGTGCAAGATGAAAGTTTGTACTTTAAAAGCCTTAAAGTATGTGATGATGTGTGTGTGTTTTTTTTAAACCAAACTACAGTGACTTATTAAACTATACAACAGTCTTAAATAATCGCGGCTGTGAAATTACCACTTTATTCCCAAAACCACAAACAAAAATTCCAAGATTCCAGAATATTGGAATTCCTCTGCATGTCTCTCTGGTGTAATTGTAGAAATCATGCATCATTCAGAAGGATTGTTTGAGGTTTCAGTGCTGTTATTCTGTTGTTGTTGTTGTTGTTGTACTTTTTTTTTTTTATAACCACAGCATATCAAAACCGAAGTGTTTCGTCCATCAGATATCTATCGTCTCTCTCTGTCCTAGTGACTAATCACGGTAATTTATCACCAGAACGGTGTAGTGATAGTTACGCATCGTGATCGTAGTATTATAAGGTTCTGTTTGGGTTTTGAGATCAAAGTTTTGACATTCCAGTTACTGACGTCTAAAATGTACATTTACAGCTCAACGAGGACTACGTTTTAATGTAACTTTTACATTTGTGTTATCAAAATGAAAAGGTAGGCTTTGTGTGATATTGCCTTTTCCATGCTCACGATTTTTAGTCATCCAGAACCGATTTCAGGATTAAGGAGAGTAGCGACGGGCGTAATAATATTGCGTAAACCTAACAGCACTTTTTCAGAATAATCCTTGTACACATCGGTTGTCTAATACCCCCGTGGCCGACATTTTCCCTGTTGATCGCGCGCAAAGTGTTTGAACGTGTCTGAGCGTATACAATCACTTTTTAATCATCACCACCATTAACTTTATTTGTAAAATATTAGATTTGACGCTTCATTGTAGGGATGTTTAATCTCTTTAGGTCAAAATTTTCAGACCATTTTGACCAGTTTCAGCCGAAATCTAAAAATATAGCTAGGTATAGCTACCTGATGTTAACTAATATACTTTTCTAATATTAGCGAAGTCTTACATACTTAGATTCGTATGTCGATTAGCTTCCAATTTCTTAGGGAAAAAAAAGACGTATTTTTGAGTGATAATTCGTACGAACATACTCTGATGTTAAGTTGTGGCGCTCCTACACTAAGTGCATGAATGTTGGCAGGTCTGATCATATAATATACTATACTATACTATACTATACTATACTATACTATAATATAATATAATATAATATAATATAATCAGAGTAAGCGTCACTAGACACTTGATATTGGCCACAATATTAGCTTTCTGCTGCGATGAAGATCTTTATGGATGATTTTGTAAAATCAGCGATTACAGTATTGTACAGTAACTTTTTAATTACTCTGCATCTACAGATAAAAGTTACTTCTGAACGTGGATTTAGATCGTTCAAGGCCGCCTATGTTGCGTTCATCCTGGATGATGATGATTTTAAACTTTGCAAAAGAAAATAGAAAAAGACAATAAAGTGATGAAATTTCTCGACCAAGCTTCCAGATAGAACCTTAATAATACAGAGGTCACGATACGTCAACGAATTCGCCTTCACTTTTCTATGTCTTGTTAGATTTCAGTAAATTTTCTTACTGTTGCCTCTGAATGTAAAGCGCTTCTATCCTAATCTCTAACCATCAGTAGTGCCTCTTGTTTAGATGGAGTGTCCTTCATCTAATCCGTTTTTTTTTTTTAAAGCTCCGTCTCCCTTCCCAACTTCCCAATTCCCTTCCCAACCTTCCAAACTCGAGTGCCAATCCAGTCGCTTTCCAATCCAAACAGTTCCCGCGCCATTAATTATGGCGTCTCTCCAAAACCAAAAGAAATCCCGCTTAAGCCCTAATGAAACCCGGGACATCTAGTCTTTGTAGCCTATGTCCAGCGTTTATACCGCTTGAAAACACTTTAATAGCCACCTGGCTGTTTAGCTGCCTTTTTATAATTCACACAATTTGTACATTTGTTACGGAGTATTCTCGTTTTATGTTTTTTTTTTGTCCGTTTGTTTGTTTTTTTTGGTTCATTTTAGTTTGATTTTGTTTTGTTTTAGTTTTTTGAAGGCCACGTGCCTGTCTTTGTACTGGAGCAAATCTAAATACATCTAGAAATTTAGATCATGGAGGCCGTAATGGTCACAAATTGTTAATTGTATATATATAAATATAATTTATGCATAATTTCCACTGAGCAACATGAACAATAAAGACTGAAGTAGGAGAAATGATTAGAATCTGTGATGTTTGATGTTTTGTCATGAAATGTTGTTAAAGCAAGATTAAAACATTTTTTACTTCACTTGGTTGAATTCTTGCTGGTGCTTCGTACCACCACATGAGTTTTATTTGTTTTCTTTCTTTCTCTCTCTCTTTTTTTTATTTTTTTTATTTTTTAAACAAATTATTACAGAACACCTGGTGGACAGATCAGTAGCCCAGGACAAGCAGATTTATTGTCTGGGCTGTGAGTTTTTTTATTTCTCTCAAGTGGCACAACAGAAAAGTCTTTATTTAACTGAGCAGTTGAGGGTTAAGGGCCTCGCTCAAGGGCCCGCAGTGGTAAATTGGCAGTGTTGGGATTTGCACTCATGACCTTCTGCTTGTTAGGCCAACATCTTAACCCCTGAGCTACCACTGCTTTATCGTCTGGAGATCACAAGTCCGCATCCCAAAATCCACAGCCATCCATAGCTGCAAGTGTAGAGTGTAAAAACTGGTTGTGCTTTCCGAGTGGGAGGAGATTACTCTCTCTCCCCTGTCAATCACAATCAGAGACAGTAGCCAATCATGATCATCGCTGAGCTCATGTATGTGGAAGGGGGCGGATAGCGATTTCCTCAGTGTGTGTTACGCAGCATGAGCAGCATTCAATAAGATACAGTTGGCTTCATGTGTCACCGAGGAAGTCTTATAAAAGTCTACTATGCTTCTTATTGACTGGTGAAAGAAAAAAGTTTTCATTTGATCTGTGTAAGTGTACTTCCAAATCCCACACAACATCGGTCAGATGTAGCAGTCGGATTAATGACAGACAGTATTGTAGTCCAACCCAAAGCTGTCACATAAACGGTTAAAGATATCCAGAGAAAATAAAGATGCTAGTCAGGGTCAAATCACGTCTTAGCCAGTGCACAACACCAGAACGTTGACCAGCGACTGGCTGACTTCCTGCTGATGGAGCAAGCACGATAGAACACTTCTATTTATGCGTGTACAATAATCCTATACACATTATCTTTCTCTTAGGTAAGGAATACAACATTCAGTCTGGTGCTGTTATAGGAGATTTAAATGTAAAAATACTATTTCATCTATTTATTTATTCGAGGTGTAGAGCTTTTTAATTATCCCTGAACTTTCTGCTGACAGAACATCATAGGTTTTATTCGACGTTATTTATAGACCGACTTGTTTTTGAGGTTTGGAACTTCTCGAGTGACCAGTCAGACAGGCTAATTTTATTTACAGGTTGTGATTTCCACCTCCAGGCTATGCTTCACGTATTCCTGGGAGTCTCCGGACCCCAACTTTGAGGAATTTACCACGTTGGGGATTTACCTTGAACCCAAAATGGCCAGTTTAAAAACTTTGTCCTAATCACACTATGGGTTTAGACATTAATCTAACAAAGCCTTTCATTTTCTCACTGATAACAGAGTCACTAGAAGGCCTTGATGCACTTCCTCTGTCTGTTTACGTTTACTGATTCTTGCCATGTTCTGATAATCTGGGTCATGCTGATCCCTCTGATGACTCAGATGGAGGGAACCCTTCCCCTCTAGGCTTCCAGAGCTCTTACTCTCTCAGGATTTCCTCTCTTGCCAATGAGTCATCTGCATTATGGGCTTTATCTGTCCAGCTTCCTCGGGTACACAGCGCTGCGTGCCATTTCTCTTCATTACCACATATTAGCTCATAAAGGTTACCGCGCTCTCCGTGCAGTGATTTATCGTCACTCGCTACTTCACAGAGAAGTGGATCGGCATCACATCAGGCTTTCAAGCTAAAAGCCTACAGGATGCATCTTTTTTTCTGTTTCGTGAAGTCCGTCCGGAGTTTTATGTGGAAAATGTGAGCGTTCATGCATGTCCGGGAACACTAACACGCAGCGTCCAATCTGTGTTCTCAGGAGAAAAAAAACAAAAAAACAATGCAATTTGTGTTTTCTCTTCCGAGTAAATCAAGTACTTCATTTTTAGTTTTCGTATGTGCGTCATTCACCGCCTGTAAATATTCAGAGAAGAGAAAATTGTATGCCTCAGGGTTGATTGTAGAGACTTTGTCTGCCTCTTTAGTGTCAGAATAAAAAATGCAAATTAAATTTCTGCTCCGAGGGAGTCCTTATTAAAAAAATAAAAAAACAATGCGTCTGGCTTGAAAAGAACTTTGACAGAAATTTCAAACTGTGCCGTCAAGCGTCAAGTCCCCGACTAATATTAGCATGCAGACGGATGAGCACCTGGGATTAATCCCTAAACTTGAATCATGTCTGAAAAACTTCACAAAGCTGTCTGCGAGACAGAAACTTTAAATCTATCCTCTTTTCTCTCCTTATCTCTCTCTCTCTCTCTCTCTCTCTCTCTCTCTGCAGTCAGTTTGGCAGCCAGAATTACGTTAATCTTCTTAAAAACGTCTCCTCTTTGCTCTCCATCACACCTGTACAATAGGAGGCCGTCAAAGTTTTTCCTTTCTGGTTTAAATGAGTTTCTTCTGTACGTCTGAACTTCTGAGCGTTTTTTTTTTTTTTTTTTTGGTAATGACGTACAGCTGATCCAAATGAAGCTGATATAAAGTTTAAAAAGGGTTGTTACTTTGAATGATTACGATGAATCGAAATTGCTGACCTTTTTAATCCTTGATGTTCGGCATGCGTATGAAATAATGGTCCTCGCATACCAAAGCAACGTGGACTCGTTTTATTCCACGGATTATAACAAGCCGACGTTTAATTGAAGTACGCTTTATTCCACCGCCATTCGATGGACGTGCTCGACCTTGACGTTTATTAAGGACAGAACACAGGGATTGTTTCTTTGTGATCAGGCCAGAGCACGAGAGGTAATGAAGCGTACATGGGAGCACGCGATGCCTATACGAGGCTTGTGTGGGTATTAAACTGCAAAGTGGATGTGAAATTAAAAACTAAAACAATGGACTTGGAATTCTCGTTCGCAGTGAATCCCACATCCAAGACTACGAGAACGCATTGGATGGCTTTTTTCTTTCTCGCCCGAGTGCCATCGCTTAACAAAACACAAGCGACTGCAAACAAATGTCTTTTTACACACAAAAAAAAGAAAAAATATGAAAACCGCCAACTTGTTCCACACTGTCAGATATTTCCGCAGGGCACACATGGTTTTCTACGCTTCCCTGAAAACTGAAAAAAAAAAAAGTACTCCAAGTGCTGAGGAATATTAAACCGAGGCCTGAGTAATGCATGTGGAATCCGTGGCAAAAAAAAAATTCCTTTCAACCTGCCTACATCAAAAACATGGACGATCGGAGACAGACAGAGACAGACAGAGAGACTGTTTCGTCTGCAAAATTTTCAATATGCCCCGAAGTGGATTTCATATTCTATTTTCAGATCCAGCCGTGCAAAAGCTGCGTGCTCAGACCTTGGCTGACCGTTGGCTCTGTCTCGTAGAGATCGACCGGCTCGCACGTTCCGATTGATATCCTATCAGAGCCGGGGGACGACGGGGCGATGTCTGGCAGGAAAAAAAAAACACGCCAAGCTCCAAACAACTGGCAGGAAACGACCTGCGCCGGCCAAAACACTGCTGTTTATTATTATTATTATTATTATTATTTTGTTTATCTTTTAACACTCTCTTGATGGTTGTGAAGGGTTTTTTTTCCCCTCACCTTTTCTCACAAACGTCTGTTGGATTGTTTTATTTCTCTCCGCTCCGATAAACAATCCGTCACCAGAACCCGTCTTCCCGGCGGCGTGAAGGTCACAGGAGTTGCAGCATGGCCTCACAGCCGCCACCATGGGAAAAACAAGCTCTCTCTCTCTCTCGCTTTCTCTCTCTCGCTTTCTCTCTCTCGCTCTCTCTCGCTCGCTCTCTCTCTCTCGCTCTGTCTCTGACTGCCATGTCAGCGTTTTCATTAACGTAGTTATGGAGGGCGCCTTCCATTTTTCCAAAACACGCTCAGACACCGAGACTCTGATTACAATCTCTCTGCTGTGGTAATCATTTTCAAATATGATTACTCTCTCTTTTTCTGTCTCATTCTCTCTCTCTCTCTCTCTCTCTCTCTCTCTCTCTCAGTCTCTCTGTGTCAGGACGGTCTGAACCCTGGACGGCAGAGGACAAAAAAATTCTTGGTGTTCAGAGAAAAAAATGTCCAGAGGAACTCAAAAATGATTTCAAAGGCCTTAATAAACGTCTTAAAATGACAAAATGACACCTAAAGGCTTTTGAGGCATCCTTTTCTGGTGGAGTTTGAATTATTTATTTTTTTATTATTTTATATTATTATTATTATTATAGTTTTGTTGTTTAATCTTAGTTTATTTTTTTAACAGTGTTTTAATTCTTCAAGTTATTTTATTTTTTTATTACAAAAATATGACTTTGAATTATCATATTTTTATTATTTTTCATTTATGTATTTGTAATGTTTCTTCATTTTATTTTTGTTAGTGATTTAAAAAAAACTAACTATTATTTTTCAGAATTTGGAGTTATTCGTGAATTAATATTTACTATTCAAAAAGATTCTTATAAAATGTTAGAATTACATTTTTATATATAATTTTGATCTTTTTAAGCACTTGTTTAACATAAAAACATTTGATAAACCTGAAAAAGTTGTTGAAACTTTGAATTTATATATATTTGTAATTTTTACGTATATTTATATTTGTAATTTTACACATTATTTTATTATTGTATTATTACATTTTGATTAAATTAGATTTTTTTAAGTGCTTGTTCATAGTTTATCATAACAGCACTTGCTAAGCCTGAAAAAGGTATGAAACCATTGACTTCATCTTTTTTTAATTATTTTTTATTATTGTACATACGTTTTTTTTTATTTTAATATTAAATTTTGATGAAATATTGAATATATTACTTTAAGCGCTTGTCTATAGTTGATTATAAAACACTTGATAAGTTTTAAAAGGTGTTAAACGTGACTTGAGGACGTCTGTTCCAACCGGTTCTTTGTAGAACCCTGCAACAGGTGAGTACGTTTGAACCCTTTTTACAAAGTAAGAACCCATGAGGAACCCTTTATTCTCAGACACCATGGATGGTGTGTGTGTGTGTGTGTGTGTGTGTGTGTGTGTGTGTGTGTGTGTTACCACGTGCCCCTCACTTCTGAATAATTATTACCTCCAGTAATTTGGATATTTAAATCTATTAACGATATGAAAAATTTCGTTCCACTAAGTCACCGTGACGACATGAGACACGACTTGAGTGGAATTTGGAAAAAGATGCCAGGATATAATCTGGACGTATAATCTGGGAGGAAGTGTGTTCTGTCGGAGATGTTCTCACACACACACACACACACACACACACAGAGCATGGAGGATCTCAATTAACTCTGTCTGTACAACTTCCTGCCAAATTAGTTTTCATGCTGCTGTCCAGACAGCTCTGTTTTGGCTAC